ATGGCACGGTGGCACCAAGCCCCGTCAGCTTTGGCCAGAGCTGGAAGCTGGGCGACCTCCCGGGATGCTCTGCAGTAACAATACCACCATGCGCAAGTGTAGAGGCTATTGAAAAAGAACAACGAGGTAGCAGAGGGCAGTGTGGGCTCATCCTATACAACAGTGGCCCTTTCAGAGGATGTCACAGCAAAGTGGACCCTCATGGATACTTCGTAGACTGCGTGTACGGCTATTGCGTCCTCAGTGCGCGTGAAAGTAATGTCTGCCAGGCCGTTGCTGCCTATGCCGAGGCATGTCAGGAAGCTGGAGCTATGGTGCGTCCCTGGAGGACTACGCAATTCTGCTGTGAGTCCCCTGTGTTCACCACTGCCTTCCCCTTGGGGATCATTAATTCTTGTTGGCTGGTAGATGTGGATCTAAACACTGCAGAACATTTTTAACAGACAAAGGTCTCTCTCAGCAGGTTCGGTTCAGCATGCGTAGTGGCCTTGGCAGCTACACCATAGGCAAGGGAAACACTGCTAAGGGTGTAGTGTGCTCTCCATGGCCAGTCTAATCCTTGCCTTCCCTTCTGAGACTGGGACATAATCAGAGCTGGGATTCAGGGTGGCTACTAATTGGGATGTTTGTTCATTAGGAACTGAGCTGGGAACCCACCAACTCATCCCACATAAGCCATCAGTTGGTAATGAATTTTAACCAATACTGACCAGGATTCAAAAAAAAATTTAGTAGTGAAACAGTGAAACAATAAACCGAATTAGAAGCCGTCATAGGAGAGAGATTCTGTATCCCATCTCCTGGCCTCTGTGAGGCAGCCACTTCATCAGACCTGGGACCCCATTACAGATGGTGCCTTTTATTAATTAACCAAACCAAGGAAATAGAAAAGTAGGAGCTTGAATTAAATTGCATGTTCTGTAATGGTTCATTGCACACATTGCTAATGCACTATATGAGCGAATTCTTTGTTCTAATTACAGCTCCGTCCTGTCCCCTGAACAGTCACTATGAATTCTGCAGCAGCAGCTGCGATCTGACATGCAGCAACCTCTATGCCCCGGTGCAATGCATGACCCAGTGTAAGGAAGGCTGCGTGTGTGACGAGGGCTTTGTTCTCAGTGGCGACCGCTGTATCCCCATTTCCCGGTGCGGATGCCTCCACAGGGGACTTTACTACCAGGCTGCAGAGAGCTTCCACCCGAGTGGTTCATGTGAGGAGCAGTGCATGTGTCAGGCTGGTGGGGAGGTTGTGTGTAAGGCATTCTCCTGCGGCGCTGGTGAGCAATGCAGGGTGGTGGACGGCGTCCAGAAATGCCACCCATTTGGATCTGCGACCTGTTCTGCCTCTGGCCATCCCCACTACCTCTCTTTCGACGGGGTCTCCTTTGACTTCCAAGGCACCTGCACCTACATCCTGGCCAAGACCTGCACTGATGCCAGCCACCTTACACCATTCACTATCAGCATAGAGAAACAATCCTGGGGCAACTGGAACATCTCCATGGCCAAGCTGGTGTCCATTCAGGTGTATGGGATCACACTCACCCTGCTGCAGAACAGACAGGGGCTCATCATGGTAAGGTCTTCTCCAGATCCTGCCCTCTACCTCATGGGGATAAGGCCAAATGGCTAGTGTTGATATAGTTGTCTTTGGCTGGGAGACAGTATGGCCTAGTGGTCAGAGTCAATTCAGCTGCCCTTGTCTTCAGGGCTAGAAGACCTGATGGTAAAGGTCGATATGGATGCCCTCTCTCTAAGGGCTGGCCAGCCCAATGGCCAGAGTCAGAGAGGTGCCCTCACTTGCGGGGCAATAAGGCCTTGTGGCCAGAGTCGGTAGGGTTGTCCTTTCCCAAAGGACGGTAAGGCCTTGTGGCCAAAGCCAATGAGGTTGGCCTTATCCACAGCGCAGTAAGGACTAGTGGCCAGAGCCGATGGGGTTGCTCTTACTCGTGGGGCAGTGAGGCCTAGCAGCCAGAGCCAATGCACAACCATCTGGAGGGGGAGGTGCCAGGGTATGGGGACCCAGGCCCACCCTGCTCCACCAGATTCCAATGCAGGGCCCTAACAGGGC